TGGTATACCGGAATGTACCCTGGTAACTATCTGATATGGTTAAAGGGTTAGGGAGTAGGCGTAGGTGACTCCCTAGACTCGTTACTGGAGTAGGCGAGGTACGGTCCGGCATATTAGATAGTACCAGGGTACGTTCCGGTATACCGGACCGTACCCAGGGTACGTTCCGGCAGTACCCTGGGGGACATAGACCATCTCAGCACTACTAGACTATACACGCTGTTGTAACTGCATCTGTGTTAATCAAGTTTATATCAACAATATGTTATGTAACAAGTAAGACAGTCGTTGGAATCTTTATTCTAATGCCTCAAGAACACGAGATATATAACAACAGGTTGGGTATTTCCGCATCAGCCAAGTTTCTATATTGTAATTTTTCTGAATTACCTGTAGTTGCCCGATAGCCATGCATCTGTGTGTATTAATCTGGGATAGTTCAAAATGTTTTAGTTTTTTTATAAAAAACGTGCTTTTGTGGCAGTGCATTAGTGGGCAATAAAGTGTTGGAGATATCCATCTTTTTAATCAAGATTATGTCATCCAGACTTGGGCTGTATCAAAAGCCTCCCCACCAAGTTCAAAAGTATGTTTTCCTGTCACTGATGCTATCCCTTTCTTCTTGACAGGTCAAAACCATCGCCAGTGACATCAACTGTCACTCTTTGGACTGGTCAGGTATGATTGGCCTACTCCATTCATCACACCATCATCTGCACATTACTATCAGTCACCAAGGAGTTTGCTGTTGCTTTCATGTATTCCAATTAGTTCCTTAATGGCCATAGACAACACAGAAAACACACATGCACTGTCTAAAAAAAGTCCATCATCTGAGAATGCTTTAAATAATTGATCTGGCAGCAACAGGAGTTTGTGATCATTGCTTTGTATGATAACACAACACAGAAATCAAGAGTTGGTAAAATAATAATGATGCAGGGAATTAATTGGAATTTTAATTGGAATTTCAGAGCAGTTATACATACCTGTTTTAATCAGATATTTTGTATGTGTTATAAATATTTTCATTAATAGTGGATATACACTGACAGCTATTTGCCCCTGTAATCAGACCAAAAGCAGACACAATGCCCCCACAGCAGTAGTAAGAGTTCATGTGAAGTAATTAAACCTGTTATCATCCATTGGCCTAGTGGCTCTTGAAATTATATATTATGGGTTATAGCATTTGGAATAACTATTTGTGTGGCTGCAGTCAGTAAGTGCTTCATTTATATATCATATAATTATTGACAAGAGACAGTGTAATATACAGGCTAAATGACAAGTAGATATTTTATATATTGCAGTATGTGATCATACTAATATAAGATGACGTCACTTCCTATAGTAAAAACGATTTTACTTGGCGAAGGATAATGCTTTGGAGCCATAAATGGTCATTATTTTCTTGTGGGCAATGTAAAAAAATCAGGTTTGACATGAAGTTCAGAGATAAACTGTCATTTGCATGCCTGGTTGAATGAATGAAGTCATGTTTGTATCCTACATATTAAATTCTCAGGCATTTTGTTGTTTCAGTGTGTGAATTCAAGAATAAATGTAGGAGGTATTTTATTGATTAGGTGACCGTTTTCATGTATGTGACTAGAGTTAAATCAGGTTTGGCACACGCTGTTGTCATGGTTAGTTGTTCTGCTATTTTACATTGACTGTTGTTATGCAACAAACTTTAGAACCAGTTTCCAGGTGTATGTTACAGGTATCATTGCATAGTAATGTGTACTCTTCTACTTGTAATATAAGAAATTCTTGTGATTGCCTGTAGGCTTGTAAATTTCACAAACAAACATAACACAGCTTCTAAAATTTCATGTGGACTATTCTGTTAGTGATCTAATGGCATCATGTGAAAAGTTCTGCAATGCATGCTGATTAAATTATGCCCATGTTTAGAAGACGGTAATGATATTTGAATATGCTCCATCACTTTGTATTGTGTAAGAAAAATATTATGCAAAATTCTCACAAAGCAACTAACATATACAGCATTTTAGCTTATCTGACACAGTCAGGTACAGCTTGTAGAATGGCATGAGCATTTGCCCATCAGCCAGTCTGTCCAATATGGGCGTAAATATGAAATGCTTGACATACGGTATTCAAATTCGGGAACAAGGAGAGGGGCAATCTGAAACGACACTGGGAGGTCAAATCTGAGGGTTACGGGTGACGACGATTTGTTATACAGTAAGTACGGTTGTATGCAGTAAAATCCTAGAGGCTACTATCACTTTAAGATACAGGACCAGCTTTGAGGAAATTTCGGCACACATTGCCAATGACATATTGTCCTATTGGCACTTTTAATATTTGGTATGGACTATGGAGTCAGGGTGAAAGAGTCAATCATCATTCTGGCAAAATTTGAGGTCAGTGGGAAGTTGGGCAAAGGACAGATTTCCGACATTTTTAAAAGACATGATCTGACACACCGAGTGGAAAGCTGTTGTTTTAATGGCGACTTACCACTTTCATGACTTTGTTAAATGGACTGAAATGTTCTTTCCATTTTATCTGTCATAATGTATTGTCCCTCAAGAGGAGGGTTGAACACAGATTTGTTTACTGTTAGCAAAGGCGTGAAATCATTTTGCTAGTGGAGCCTATATAATTTCTGAGTTAAATTTTTCAGTTGGAGAAGGATTGAGCTAAAGTTTATTAAGTCATATGAGATCCGTTCCGTACCTCCGAGGCTGTACTGTAGTCCCATACATCAAATAGCACCTAGATAACAACCACGACATGTCCTCCTTTACAGTCATCAACATGCACGAATTTCTACCAGCTGCATTTGCGTAGCGGTTGATATATACAACACATTATACATAATAACATTTCATAGTACGTCACTATACCGCCCACTAATGCATAGCAAAGTACGTGAACAAGTATGTTGTGTTACTCACTTGCTAATTGGCAGGTAGGAGTTAAGGGTATGTCCAATCAAAGACTGTATACAATAAGGCAGGACTATCACTGATTGACAACAGCATAAGTATATAGGATATCTATAGGAGTACTCCCGATAACCCCTCTCCCCACACTCGTCTCTCTGTCGCCCCCTTCCTCTCTGTCTCACTATCAGTCTACGCCCCTGGTGCTTTCCAGCACTAGT